GCCCTCTCCGTCCACCCACAGGCCCCGTCCTTCATCACCTGTGAAGGTCTAATCTTATCTGCGGCCGCTGCACGGCTCTTCATTAATCACGCTGAGGCCAATCAAGCGCTGACTGATGGCGGCGGCCTTCTCTGGCAGTGCCACAGGTGTTGGGAGCTACCTTTTGATGACCTTACGCTGCCGTGGCAGATCGTCCTCCACATCTGTGTGTATTAATGCTGTGTGAGTTTGTCAGTGCTGTGATCTGGCAGTGAGACACGAGCTGTCGTTTATAAAGAATATCTAAAGAACTGAATCACACGGTGACACTGAATAAGTGGTGAAGACGTGCAGGACGTACAGCACCAGATGTGTGATGAATGTGGAGCGATGTGTGTGGGAACAATAGCTTCAAATTAGAAAGAACAGGAGAGTTGGAAACATGCTAATGATAATCATTTATGATGCAAAGATGAAGTTAATTACTGTTCGTACGCCTACCTAACCAATCAGCAGGGAGGTTTTCACCTCACAGAGAGGTGAGAGTGAGTGGTTGCTGGGAGCCATGTTGTTTCACAGTCATGGTCCACATCCTGTTTGTTGTCAATCATTCATCACAGCTCCCTGCTAGCTGTGGTAAGTGATTGATAAGTGTGGTGAACGTACACGTGCCCGCCGCTCTGCTCACAACACAGATGGCATGAGGCAGTCGGCAGTTATGGATGAGTCTGCAGAAATCACTGCATTTTATTGATTAGCATTAATTGCTGTGACGGTGAATTAATGGCTCTCTCTGACAGTTAGCAGAGTTGTTGCTGAAAACATTAGCTATCTGGTAAATGGGGACCTGCTGATCAGAGGAGCTGGTGTCATAAACAGAAGATCGACATCTGCCACACAGCGTCGGTGCCAACGCTCCGAGCTTCCTGTTGGAAAGACCACATGACATCAATTTGCTGATGTGTAAACGTGTCAGCAGGGCTACAGAACGGGAAGCTAACAGCGGTGTGAAATGTTTGGTGTCTCTTCGCCTTCTGTCACACAAACAGTGACAACTGCCGTGACAACACCAACTTCCTGGGTTAGCCAGCTAGGCTAATGGCAAATGAGGCGAGGTGAGCGCTGGCCGATAACGATCACCGATTGGACGATCAGTGCATCTCCAGTTCAATCCAAAATAACTCTAATTTAACCAAATATATTGGTTAATAATTAAAGAAAAACATTCATTCTCTCAAATATTATAATGGCAGCCTAACAGGTTTTTTTTTTTGGTACTACGTTTTTCAAATGTGTGAATTGCTTAACATCATCGAGGCAGTTTAGTCCTGCAGACTGTAGAAAATCAGATTTCACACCAAAGTACAACAGAACGGACCGTGTGTAAAAAACCTTGGGCTGTAAAATATGTTTCCAGCTGTACTGCAGTACAGCTATAGTACAGCTGTAGTACAGCTATAGCTGTACTATAGCTGTACTATAGCTGTACTATAGCTGTACTATAGCTGTACTATAGCTGTACCTCAGTACAGTACAGCTGTAGTACAGCTGTAGTACAGCTGTAGTACAGCTGTAGTACAGCTGTAGTACAGCTGTAGTACAACTGTAGTACAACTGTAGTACAGTTGATACCATATTAAATAACACTGTTGGACTTGAGCCACTGTTTGATATGGGAAAGAAAGTAAGTGTATCATGGATTTAGAAATCAATTTGGTTTGTGTGTATAATGTTTACAGGTCAGAAACACCTACATGAATATTCACAAAAACTAAAATACATTTTGGGGAACGATCAAAACCCTTAGCTGAGTGAAACTCTAATATTCAGAGAACGTTACGTGAAGATTCTTTTGATGTGAGTTGTGTGCAGCAAATAAAGGTTGAAAAAAGAAGCAGATTTACATGTGCTGTGTGTGTCTTTGCTGCACTGTACTTCCTTTTTGCTTTAATTATTCATACACACATTCATACATCGCCTGAAACAATGTGCTTAGATCTGCAACATATAATAAACGAATGAAAACAAGTTCCAGGAAAATGCTGAAGAGAGTAATCACTTATTCAGGAGGTAAATAACCGGGAAGCTAGCGCTAGTGCTAACCAACGCAGAGGATGATTGTGGCTCTGCTTCAGATTCACTGAATACCAGTACCTCCTGGTCCATACCTCCTGGTCCATACCTCCTGGTCCA